TGAGTATGCGTGTGAGTGCATGATCTCTGGGCTGACAAGCACATGGTGACCCACTGTGCTCCTTTGGAGACCCCGTTCTTTTCAGAGACTCCCCGTGTGGAAATCTGGGGCCCACAGGAGTCGAAAACCAGGCACTGTGTCTCTGGGTCTCCAAAGTGGCGGGATTCTGGAATTCCACAGCCAACGGCACTCACGGGCGTGGGGGACGGTCACAGACCCACTGTGCATTGGCCTGGTGTCTGGTGGTGCGGCCGGGGGCTGGTGGGTATCACCCCACTCCATCCTCCCGGCAGTCCTGCCACAGCGCAGTCCTCACCCTCCCTTTATAGTCAGAGTCGCCGTGGGCCACTGCTGGGCTGCGTGGGGCGCCGGGGGTAGTGATGCAGAGCTGGGACGGCACCTCAGGGCTTGGCTTGCAGCCTGGGCTCTGAAATGCCACATTATGGAAGTCCGAGGTTATTGTAGCTAATATGTCGGGCCTCTAAAGTTCTGGGTGATTCTAAGATGCTCTGATTCTGAGATTCCTAGATTCTAGTATTCCCAGAATGAATTTGTTGCTTATTCTCCTAGCTGTGACGTTAGTTGGTATGTGGTTGTTGGTAAAGGAGTAAGCAGGTTGTCTGCTTGTGTTTGCTGGTGAATACACAAACACACACGTATGTATATGCGTACACACACACACAAACACACACACTCATGCACTCGCGCACTCATGCAGGGCCTGGGATGACCAGGAGAGCCCTCGTGTCTTTCTTCACCAACCAGGTTCTGAGCTCTGCAGACACAAGGCCTCTCCACACCATACTCCAAGGGCTCTGGAAGATTCTGGGAGGCGGATTTCCCCACAGACTTGCAGGGTCTTTGTCCACACCGGGGGTCTTGGCTGCATTAGCAGCTATGTTGGCACTGTCTGGGGATCCAGCTTGGGAGGGAAGGCCCAGTTCCAGGGCCACCTTTCCCTATCCCAAGCTGGTGTCTGTGAAGGTTTAGTGCTTAAGCTTGGGAGTGGCAGGCCTGAACTGGGACCTTGGCTTTGTCCTCTAATAGCAGAGTGACAATGGGCACTGCTGGACTTCTCTGGGCCCCAGTTTCTTTCTTCACAAAGCAGAAATAAGGATGGTTTGTACTTTAGAGGGTGATGGTAGAAATTGACATGTAAGTGATGCCTAGAAAGCCCTTTGCTTGTTACCTGGCACAGTCAGACTCAGTCAGAGCCTCTGTGATGCTGTGATGATGATGGTGGTGATGGTGGTGGTGATGATGATGATAATGATGATGGTGGTGGTGGTGGTGATGGTGGTGATGATGGTGGTGGTGGTAGTGATGGTGGTGGTGGTGGTGATGGTGGTGGTGATGATGATGATAATATTGGTGGTGGTGATGGTGGTGGTGGTAGTTATGGCAGAGAGAGGGCTGGGGTGCAGCGCCTGGGGATGGCACAGCTGGCCTCATGCATGCTTAGACATCTACCTTCATGAGTTTTAGAGAGCTTCACATCCACATGATGTGGGGCCTGCTGACACAGGCAGGATCCTGCCTGTGTCAGCAGGCAGGAGGAGGCCTGAGCTTTACAGAGGGAAAGACCGAGGCTCCAAGAGGCCAGTGGAGTCAAGAGTGGGGGTGTGTGTTCCCAACACAGTGGGGTTCTGCTCCTGCCCCTGCACTTGCTCACAGAGGCCAGTCCAGTCACCACACCACTGCCTGGTGGCCCCATCCTGGGAGTGCTTAGAGGGAGGAGGCTCCAGGACGTGGAGGCAGCTCAGAGTCTGGGGCCAGATGGACCTGAGTTTGAATCCGTCAGTGCTGTCACCTAAAGCCAGACCTCTCATCTCTGTGAGGCTCCATTTGGAGACAGGTTGGAGCCCAAGGGGCCCAGCTGCCAACCCCTCAAGAGCTTCTAGCCCTAGGCAGTGGGGCAGCTGGGGACAGGAGCAGGGCTTTGGGCACAGGGCAGAGGGAATTTGGACTATGGGGAGCAGGTGAGAGGGTGGCACCCTGAGTGGGCACTGGGGAACAAGTGAGAGGTTGGAGGCTGGGTGGACACCGGAGAGCAGGTCAGAGGGTGGAGGCTGCATGGGCACTGAGGAACAGGTCAGAGAGTGGAGGTTGGGTGGGCACTGGAGAGCAGGTCAGAGGGTGGAGGCTGGGTGGGCATGGGGAGTGGGTTGGGGGTGGTGGTCTTGGCAATTGTGGTCTCTAGGAGTCCCACAGTGAGGCAGGAAAGCTGTGAGGACAAAGGACTACAGCCTTGTGACAGCCTTAAACAGGACCAAGTGAGGCAAAAAGCAAGTTAGGATGGAGTGGGCGGAGCTGAGAGGGAGGAGAGGGGTGGTCTCATGTGGTTCCAGGGGCTGCGGCAGCTGCAGGAAGGGTTGTGGTGGCACCTGGCTGGGGTGCCATCGGGGCCAAGGTAGAGCCAGGCTTTTCCGCCCCTAAAACATGTCTCAAGTCCACCTCACTCTTCCTGCCTCCACCAGTATCCCAGGCCAGGCCAGCCCATCCTTCCCACCTCCTTTTGGCCTTCCCAGCCCCACCCCTGCCCCACGTCTCACTCTCCCTTTAGTCCTTAGAGGACTGGCTTAAAAGCACAGACCAGAGCACGCCACTTCCTGCCTAAAACCCTCCTGCGGATTCCTGTTGCACTTGGAATAAAAAGCAAACTCCTTCCCAGGCTCTCAGTGGGGCCTGCCAAGCACTCCACTCATCCCCTCCCTGCCCTCGGCTCGGCACACTGGCCTCGTTTCTCTTCCTTAAATGCACCGAGCTCGTTCCAGCCCCCCAGTCTCTACACATGCTGTTCCTTCTACCTGGAGAGCTCGTCCTACAGATCACGCATGGCTGGTGCCTTCTGCTTCCTATTTTTATCTTTGATGTCTCTTTCCTTCCACTAGGTGCCTTTCCGCCTTTCTCCCTTGTTTGCTTACTTCCCAGCACATTTTATTAATTTGTCCAAATGTGGATTTGTTGAGCCCCTAAAATGTTGCAGGCACTTTCTAGGCACTGGTGGGGGGGGGATGCAGCGGTGAAAGAAGCGCACCACAGTCCCTGCTCTCCTACAGCCTCCTTCCAGGTTGGGCAGACAGGCGCTAAATCATAAAGATATAAATACATAAATTATACGGTATGTGTATTGGTGATAAGGGCTCTGGAACCCAGAGGGAGAGAAATTAATTGACTCGTGTGTCTCCCTCCCTTGCTCGGAGCATCAGCTGAAATGAGGGCTGGTGCCAAGCCTGCCTTCTTCATTGGCGGAGCCGCTGTGCCGGCCCCGTGCCTGCACATAGTAGGTGCTCAGGAAATAGTTCCTGGACAAATGAATGCATCATCAGGCCTGGGGACCAGCGCGTGCGGCTGGAGAAGAGGGTGTTCCGGGGAGAGAGGAGGGTGTGAGCACAGGTCTAGAGGAGGCAGCTGGAGCTCTAGGACTGAGGGAGGTCCAGTGTGCTAGAAGCAAGGGGCTGGCAGAGGGACGGTGGGCTCAGAGGCTGGCCCTGTCATGGGCAGGCCTGGAGCCACCCCAGGGAAGGTGTTTTTCAGCCCAGGGGTTGACACGTGGCAGGCCGAGTCGCCTACAAGCTTATGTAAGGCCCATGGCCGTTTTTCTGGAACCAAGAGCGAAGCCTGGAGCTTGGGAGAAAACTCTGCCTCCCTGACCAGCCGGGTAAAGTGGCAGGAGGTGCCAACTCCCGCCTGTTGCCCCCGGGAGCCAGAGAAATGTCCAAACGCATCAGCTCTGGGCAGCTCGGCAGCCGCGGGCAGCAGTCCGTGGAGCCCCGGGAGCTCGCGTTCTGTCTCCAACTCCCATTGCCCAGCCCAGCCCTGTCGGGATCCTAAGCCCTGGGAGACCCCACTGCGTGGCGATTTGGGGACTGGTGGCCTCTTGGATGAGGTGGGGAGGGGGCAGGCCCTGACAAGTGGCTGTCCTTCCTCCTTCACCATTGGCTGTCTGTGCAGAGGGGGCTAGGCAAGGTCATGGCCAGCCATCACGGAATCTGGAGGGCCAGGGCTGGGACTCTGGCATCGAAGCGTGCCCTAGCCTTGGTGCGCCACTTCCTTCCCTGGCTCTGATTCTCCATGCGCAGGGGAGCGCTCCTGGGGTTGTTGGAATGATTAGAGAAGACCGGAATGTGGAAGTGCCCCCCCCCATGCTGAAGCCAGGAGCTTACCCTGTGTAGACTGTGTAACGTAATTTGCGGAGCTCGCTGCCTAATAGAAACGTGGGCCCAGATCACAAACGATGAAGAATTTCAAGTTGGTGACAGCCGAGTGTTAAACCCAGAGCAGGGCCCTTCTGAGTGGGAAGCCCTGGGTGACCACGCTGGTCACACTCCCAAGAAGCCAGCCCTGGTAGCGTTCTCCCCTGCTGTTGCTGGACTGTGTGTCTGTCCTGTCTGTTCTCTGGGCCTCAGTTTCTCCAGCTGTAAAGCAAAGAGGTTGGTGTGTAAGGTCCCTGAGTTCTCACCTTTGTGAGGTGGTGGGGGAGATCCCTGGGCTCACTGCCTCAGGGAAGCCTGCCCGGATTCCCTTCTGGCTTGCCCAGCTCCCTTGGTGTCCGGCTCCACAGCCCTCCAACCTCTCCTCTGTTAACGCCTGTCATCCTGGTGATGATGTCTGACTTGACAGTAACTTCCCTGTTTTCTTGCAAATTTTCTTGTCTTCAATGATATAGTAAATATACAACCACGGTCTCATAAAAACAAAACAAAACCCAACTAATATCACAGCTACATTCTAGATAGGTCTTATTCTCACTCTTCATCTCCCCAAACTGAGCCTGCGCGGAGTTGACCAGACTTGCCCCAGGACTCCTCCCTGGAAGTGAATTCCGACTCAGATGCATCGGGGGGCCCTCGGCTTGCTCCTAACCGTTGTGGCAGAGTGAGAGCGAGGGGCTATGGGCTGTCTGGGCTGTGTCCCCTTGTTGGGGCAGGTGGGTGCCAGGCAGCCCCAGCCACATGCCACCCTTCTTCCTCCCCTAGGGCTCCTTGCACGGCGCCAACATGGCTGAGAGCTCCCCGCCGCCCTCCTCCTCTGCCGCTGCCGCTGCTGCCCCAGCAGCTGAGCCCGGAGTCACGGAGCAGCCGGGGCCCCAGAGCCCGCCTCCGTCCCCTCCAGGCCTGGAGGAGCCCCTGGATGGAGCCGATCCTGAAGTCCCTCACCCGGACCTGGCACCCGTTGCCTTCTTCTGTCTGCGACAGACCACCAGCCCCCGGAACTGGTGCATCAAGATGGTGTGTAACCCATATCCTTTGCGTGGGGGCAGGGGCAAGCTGTTCCCTGACTGAGCCCTGCCTGCCACACTGTCCTCTGGTTTGGAGGCCGTGGTGGCAGTGGTGGTGGTGGTCGAGCTCTGATGTGGGGTCTGGGGGAACACGGGGGCACGGAGAGAGCCGACTGATGAGGACCTGGTGTCCTGCTGACGTGAGCATCATTGATGACTGTGAGGGTTGCCTCCTGCAGGGTCCCGTCAGGTGAGCAGGACATGAGCGGAGCCTGTCTCTGCTGCTGGACCCCAGCCCCCCAGCACGAAGTCTGGCCATCCGCGCATGCTCCCTCAGTGCTCGCTGGGCACATATTGGCCATGTCGGAGCTGAGCCTCCAGTAATGAGCGGTGTTGGGGAGGGGGTACATCAGGAGCAAAGGCCTGGGGAAGAGAGGAACCGAGGGCAGTTTGTTGTGGCTGGAGTGGAAGAGGGAGGGCCAGTGTGGGGCTGGATGGGGAGAGGGAGGCTTGCGGGGCCGCGAGAGGAGCTGGCCTGTGTTCTCAGGGCAAGGCGACCAGGCGAAGTTTGCAGCTGGGATGTGATGTGCAGCCATCAGTGTTTTAGAAGGACTGACGGCTCAGTGCAGTGTGGAAATGGATCGTGGGCTGAGCTGAGGGCTGGGGGCTGGTGAGGAGGTGGCTTTGGGACCCAGACATGGTGGCCTCTGGGTTTGGGGGCTTGCCCAGCAGAACAGAGTCTCTGCCAGTGCTCAAGGCTGCACAGGGTAGTACCTGAGCTCAGCTCTGGACACCTGGGCTAGCCGGGATGCTGGCTGGGATGGCGAGGTGGCCCCCAGGAAGGCTGCGGGAGGCAGCCATGTGGAGCCCAGGGTGCTGGTCTCCCTGCTGGGGAGGGGGCTGGGTGATGACCTTGGAAACTGGAGGGTCTCTGCTGGAATGGGTGGAGTGTGGGTCTGGGTGCCCTTAGCTGGGTGGAGGGCCAAAAGCCAGGTGTTCCTTCTGTAGGACGGCTGGTTAGAGGGTCTGTTCAATAACTCTGTTCACCCAGGTCTCCCCGGCATCAGCCCCGGAATCATGGAGGACAGAGAAATATAGCTAGCTGCCCCGCCCTGAGAAGCTGCCAGGAGTGGGGGGCGCTGACAGCATCCATGGGAACGGTTTTAGTACAGTATTTTCGGGAAACCTTAGGAGCCTGTAGCATGTGAGCTGGGAGGTGGGCAGGCCAGGAAAAGGGGGACCACAGGAGGTTTGAGGGAGAGAGAGGCTCGCTGGAAGACCAGGGACACAATGGAACCACGTCATGGGTACTTTGCCTGCGTGGGACTAGGGTTGATTCTGGCTCTGCCATTTGGGTGCTGTGTGACCTTGGCAAAGTTACTTTACCTGTCTGAGCCTCATATGTCCGGACTGACAAGATCTGGGCTGGGCTGGAGGCAGAAGCATGGCTCAGATGGCCTTGGTCTGAGAGTGTGACTCAGCTTACCCTCTGATAGGCTCTGGCATGTCTGGCTGGGGAGAAGCAGCCCTAAGCTTGTCCTGATGTTTTGGAAGCCCTTGGATAGAGAGCCATCTAGGGTAGACTCCTATCTACGGTAGAGTCCCACCTACCATAAACTAGATGTGTGACTTTGGGCAGCTCCTTCTCTCTGAGCCTCATAGCCTCTACCTAAAAACAAGGGCCTGGATAAGATGGCCTCCTCCAGCCCTGGGAGCCAGGGGTGCCCTCACCCCTGATCTCAGGCACTCTGGGCCCTGGTCACTGAGCAGCCCATAGAGACCCTTCCAGTTTGCCACATTTCTGGTGTGTTGGGGAAACTGAGTCCCTGGGATCCTCTGGCCTTAGTTCTCACCCTCCCTTCGTGCCTCTCCCCCACCCCGCCCAGGGCATGTGGGAGCCTGGGCTTGGAGCAACCGTGGGCCTGGCCCCTGGAGGGGAGGGAAAGGGTTCTGCTCCTGGACAGAGCTGGGCTTGGTCCTCCTCTGTCTCAGGGAGAGTCCTGCGTCCAAGCGTGTGGAAGCTGCCCAGGGGAGGAGGGCTGCCAAATTCATCCCCCGCCTTCGGGAGGGACTCCCCAACACTGGGAGCCGCTCAGAGCGTGTTGGGCTCCCCGGGCCCCGTGACAGAGGCTGCTGAGGCTGGGGCGCAGGTCTCTGTCTGAACTGGCTGCCTCGCTTCCAAGCTCCCTTCTGGACCAGAGATCCAGTGATTCCAGAGTGGAGCGGCTTCGCAAGTCAGGTCTGGGTGTCTCAGCCTGGAAGCTTTTGGGATTGAGTCTCAGGGTTCAGAGTTTCGATGTAAGGCTAACTGACAATCAAATTCCAAGCCTCTGTGATTCACAGCCTGTAAAGCTCGGTGTTTCAAAGAGGGCATGAAGGGGCGCCTGGGTGGCTCAGTGGGTTAAAGCCTCTGCTTTTGGCTCGGGTCATGGTCTCGGGGTCCTGGGATCAAGCCCGCATCGGGCTCTCTGCTCAGCGGGGAGCCTGCTTCCTCCCCTCTCTCTCTCTGGCTGCCTCTCTGCCTACTTGTGATCTCTGTCTGTCAAATAAATAAATAAAATCTTTAAAAAAAAACCCCAAAAAACCAAAGAGGGCTTGAATCCAGGATCTGGCGGCCGCGATGGTATGTGTTTGGAAGTCCAGGGACCTGAGATTCTAGGCTCTGTGAATAGAACGGTTCATCGTTCAGATTCCATAGCCTGAGTCGGGCTCATGGGAGAGAGGCCAAGGCAGGTTTCTGCAAATGCAGGCCCAGGTGACCTTGGCTGGTGTCAGCAGGGGCCCCGGATCAGAGACTTGACCGTGGGTACGCTCAGGCCCAGCTTTAGAGTCTTGCTGTGTGTGTGTGTGGGGGGGGTGTCTTTGATCAGGTGCTGAGGGCTCTAGGATTCTTCCCTGGCCAGAAACCTCCCTTCCCCCACCTCCTCCTTGGGAGGGAGGTCCTGGAAGGGGCAGTGCTCAAGCGAGTGCTCCTCCGTAGGGACATGGCTGGCATTTGGGGCGTGACGGTATTTGTGGTCCAGACTGTGTTGCATATTACATATTTGGTGTTCTTGGTCCCTAAATCTTAGGAGGTAGTGGTCCCTGATCTCTGTGGCAACCACAAATGACCTTTCTCATCTCTAGACTCTACACCATTCCACTTCCCATCAAGAACCCAAAGTTATGATGGACGTGTTGGCATCTGAGTCAGACTTGTGGGAGCAGCTCTCAGGCCTGGCAGGCCCAGGGCTGGGGCAGGGAAGGATGGCATGGTCTGCTCAGAAGGACTGTCCTGAGCGCTCGAGTCCCTGGGGCATGAGGAGCCCTGGCTGGGAGCCTCTTGTCCTTTGAAACCTGGTGCTCCCTGATTCGGCTCCTCACCCAGCCCGGAGCTCAACCCTGCGTCGCCACCCGACTCCCCAACTCACCAGAGAGCCAGAAGAGGCTTCTGGGACCGAGCGGGGCTGGCGCGCTGGGAGGGAGGGCCGCACCACCTTTGGCCAGGCCTGGGCCTTGAGCAACGCACCGCCAGCCAGGGCTTCAGCTGGCAAGTCTCCGGGTCTGAAATGTCAGGGGACCGGTCGCGCGGTTTGACTCATGGGTAGGTGGCAAGTGGAAAATGCTGGGGCCCTGAGTCAGGCAGACCCAGGGGCTCATTCTGCCTTTTATTTGCTGTGTGATCATGGGCCAAGTTTTTTTTTTTTTTTTTTTAAGATTTTATTTATCTATTTGAGAAGAAAACAGAGAGGAAAAGAAGGTATGAGAAGCGGGGAGGGGCAGAGGGAGAGGGAGAAGCAGACTCCCTGCTGAGCAGGGAACCCGGTGCAGCTCTTGATCCCAGGATCCCGAGATCACGACTTGAGCTGAAGGCGGACGCTTCCCATCTGAGCCGCCCAGGCGCCCCCACGGGCCAGTTTTTTATATCTCTCAGAGCCCCGTTCTCTCTGCTGTCAGATGGGGGTGGTAGTACCCCCTCTCAGGAGGGCACTGAAGACCAAGCAGCACACAGGGCGAGTGTGGACATGGGGTTCTGTAGATAGAGACCCCTGCGGTTCTCACTTACATCTGCGCTCACGGGTGAACAGGGCCTCACGGATAACCGAGCCAACGCTCTGCTCTGGGAGATGCAGTGAGACGGTAGGCATCAGGCCTGTAGAAAGTACATAACGCCCCCAGAGGACATTGTTTCCAGGGAAAATCAGATTCGATCTCCGTTACTTAGGGAAACCTGCGCCAGTTACGCCACCGGTCGTCACGCCCCCATCCACGCTCACGTTGTTGCCAGGCGGCCGCAGCACGACCCATCGGCCGGAAACCTACCTATTTTCTCCCCCAGCTTCCATGCGGGAGCCTTTCTGGGGAGCCAGCCCGGCTGCCTGGGGGAGAAGGGCCCATGCTGGGCTGTCTGTGCCCTGGTTTTCCCGGCTCTGTAATGGACGATTACAGGTGATTGGAGATAACGACTTGGAAGCAGCCAGCAGTGTGTCGGCCCAGGGGAGGGGCTCGGGGTGATGATAAGGGCTGGCACTCCTGGCGCTCAGCCCTCTGCTGCCTTGACACCTGTAGCCACCACCCCCCCGGGGCTGTCCCAGCCCCATTGCACCCACAGGAAAACTGAGGCTCCGAGAGGTTGACCGACTTTTCCCGCCGCGTCGCACAGCCAGGGTGTAGTAGAGCTGGGATGAAAGCTTCGATTCCTCCGAATCCCCAGCTTCAGCTTGTATCCAGGACACTGCGGACACCTGCGGAGTTTGGAGAAGCCCATGCTCCATCCTGGGCGGGGAGATTTGCTCCACGGTTCCAGGAGGCAGTGGGGAGGGTCTCCCTGGGTTCAGCACCTACATCGGACAGCCACCTCTGCGGCCCGCCTGGGGCCATCCCCTGAGGGGCGTGCAGCCCCTTCCCTTTGGGCTTGCTGCTCCAGGGCTGCTGCCTCCCCCGCGCCAGCCAGTGGGGAGCCAGCACTTCTGCGGCGCGGAGAAGCAGCCACGCGTGGAGGGAAGCCAGTGGGCTGTGAAGGCGGCCTCTCTGCTGGGCAT